CTTGTGGTGACAGGTTCCGCAGGAGAACTGTGTACGCCAGCAGCGACTGATAAGTAAATATTTCTTGCTCCTTTGCAGTGCCGTTGCTTGGGAATGGCAGGGACCCGTTGAAGTATCCCAGGAGATGCGCAGCCTCCATCAGCAGCTCGAACTCAAAACTCCAGGTAAAGAAATCGTGTCCGTTGAATGGTGATGAAGTCTGCAGTTTGATCACGTGTGAAAACTGCGCCTGGAGACTTAAAATTTCGTTTGGTGTTTGTTGTGATGCAGCTGCTGTTGGTTGGGCACGGGGCGGCATGAACTCGAACGTCCCCGGTGAAGAGTGATAAGGCGCAAAGGTAGGCGCTTGATTGTGTCGCCCGAATGATGAATTGTCGAGGCTCATCGGTGCTAATCCCATGTTTCCTCCGTTGCTCTGTGTTGAATGCGCAGGTGTCCTTGTCTGCTGCTGCTGGTCGAAGTGCGACATGAAGCTGAAGAACCTTTCCATAAGGTTCGGATCCACGCTTGAGGAGGGTGATGGGGTCACCATCTCCGGTGCTCTTCCTGTTGTTTCTTGAGCAGCGCCGGTCTCGGTTTGCAGTCCTGAAGTATGCAATCCAGAGTTGCCGGGTTGAATGTCTTGGGCGCTGGGTGTGCCCGTAGAGGTCTTCTTGCCCTTGCTGTCCATGACTTGTAATCAATGAAGTCGTTGAATTGCAGATTGTAGATAGAACGTAGTTGCTGGGAGTTTGGTCTCTGACCAGCTCTCATACCATGTTGGGCTGAGAAAAGCCCTTGGGATCTTTCCAGAGACTAAGTCCCAGTTGTAAAAGACTTGAGTAGTGCAACGGAAGTTGAGGTAGTTTGAACCCTTGTACTAGTATATGAGAACAAGTGATTGATTAAAGAGACAAGCATACAACAATATATAGGAAAGTAGGAAAGTAAAGCAGTTGTAGAATACAGTTGCAGGAGCGGTTATCGAGTCGCACAGCGACTCGATTGTCGCTTCGGTTACCATCCGTGCTGTTGTAACGGTCGGTCGCAACCTCCAGTTGCGACCCTTCAAGTCCCTTCGCGTTCTTTGTCCACCCCCTCGTGTAACCTCCGTTGACTCGCGTACCCGTTGTGATCTTCCTCAAGTGTAGTGTTACACTTCAGAAACGCTTAAGTCCTTTGAGATATTTCCAACACATATGTTATTATAGGCTAGATAGGTGCGTACTCTTAAAGAGTACAACACTCTAGCACAAAACCACCGTGTACCCTTCTATTCCGACAATTCGTAACCTTAAGAGAGCTGAGGGCGTACGCGTCAAACATATGTGCATATGCTATTATAGGCTAGATAGGTGCATGCTCTTAGAGAGTACAACACACTAGTACAAACTCACCCTGTACCCTCTATTCTAGTCAATTTTGTTACTCTCAGATGGTATCATGCTAGGTTAGGTCCTCCCCGCCCACCCGCGCTTCCGCCCTAGTCCTAGCCCTAGCCCTAGCCCTAGCTCTCGCCCGCTCACCCCTTAGCGCGCTGCGCAGCTCCTAGCCCACCGCTGCCCTGCCCGTCGCCGCTAGCCGCCCATCGCTAGCCGCCGTCGCTAGCCACCCGCCACTGGCCGCCGCCGCTAGCCGCCCGCCGCTGTCTGCTCACCACCGCTGACGCTCGCCGGCCCCTCGCTTGCCGGCTCCTAGCTCGCCGGCCCCACCTCGCCGGCCCCAGCTCGCGCCGGCCCTAGTTGACGCTGGCCCCGTGCTCGTAGGCCCCGCACTCGCTGACCCCGCGCTCGCCGGCCCCTCGCTTGCCGGCCCCGCGCTCGCCAGCCCCATGCTCGCTGGCCCCTCGCTCGCCGGCCCCTCGCTAGTCGGCCCCTCACTCGCCGGCCCCTCGGCCGCCGACCCCTAGCTCGCTCGCTGGCCTTAGCTCGCCGGCTCCTAGCTCGCCGGCCCCAGCTCGCTGGCCCCAGTTCGCGCCGACCCCAGTTTGTGTCGACCCCACGCTCGTCGGCCCCGCGCTCGCTAGCCCCGCGCTCGCTGGCCCCGCGCTCGCTGGACCCTCGCTAGCCGGCCCCTCGCTCGCCCTTGTGAGAGTACGACCCTGTTACACTTCTTTCTCATTTCCATATTTCTCTTCTATCTCATTCTCTTTTTATGCTGTTTCATTTGGTCCTGATCTCCTCTCATTTGGGTTCCTATTCCTCCTTTCCCATTACCCTTTGGTTTATCCTTTTATTACAATTATATCACTGACCAGGCTCGGGATGTACTGGTGCACTATATCTAGCGTAATCTTGTCGTAATTCCTTCAAGCCAATAGCCTCACGTGGCTATATGCAGGGTGATTCTATTTCTAGAAGAGTCTTTTCCCTTTGGATAGGATAAACCTGGTTACCTGATGTACCTTGGAAGTATAAAAGCGCTTTATATTGATCGATAGTGCAACTTTTCCTCGACCCATTCGATCCTGTCACACTTGGTAATCAGAGCTTTTCTCACTCGGCTGCGCTCAGCTAAGCAGCACCAGTGGGAAAACTTGCCTCGAAAAACGACCGGATGCGACTAATTCGGCGCCGATTCTGGTAAGCACCAGCTCCGCGTTTTTTTCATAAACCCCTCCGCGCATGTTTTGAACAAGATGGCGAACTTTGACAATGCCGATGTTACCCAACAGCTCTTCGTGAGCATCGCCGCCCTATAGGAGGAGATGCGAGCCGACCGCGAAGCTTGGCGAAACGAGTTCGAGCGATTAACTCGACTCACCGGCGCACAGCACAAAACGACAACGGCGACGACGCAGCAGTTGCAGCAATTTCTCGAGGCTCCGAAGCCGCACCCACCTGAGCCATTCGATCTGAATGATCGAAATTCTGACGTCCGTAGATGGATCATCGGCATGGAGATCTACTTTGTAGTCATCGGATGGAGCTCGCCAGTCTGGGATGGTCAGCACGTGCGACTCGCGGCGACACTGATGCGATGGCCGGCACTCGAGTGGATCGGCGGCAACAGTACCTTCATCCATGGCGAAGCCACGTGGCAGCAGTTCCGCACCGACCTGCTGAAAATTCCGATTTCCTTGCCCGGGAAAAAAATCATCGCCATCGACAGTTCAGGAGTGTAGCACAGTACAGGCAACAGATGGAAGAATTTTATAACCGCATTCTCGACCTGACCGAAGGGGAAAAAGTACAGTCGTATCTCGCCACGCTGAAGACTGAAGTCAAACGACAGGTAGCAACGACAAATTACGCGAGCTACAGTGACGTCGTTTCGACAGCGGAGCGGTTTGACATGGTCAACGCCGGAACACGACGGGCGCACGTCGGCAATACGCGACAAGGCGACCGCTTGGCTCATCCCACGTTCGCCGACCCGATGGAAATTGACAGGTTTGACGAGCGGCCACGTCCGAAAAACACCAACTTCATGTGTGATTTTTGCGGGGTGCCGAGCCATGGAATCTTCGACTGCAACAAAATGAAAGCCGCACGTGCAGAGTATCGGACACGCAACAGTGGCGGAAATTCTTCGACCAATCAGAAAACAAAAAACGGGAATCGCCAGTGATTGCAGATCTAGCTGCGAAAAAGAAAAGTTTGGAAAGCGGTCGCGGGATTCCAGAAAAATCAACTACAACGAAGCTGATTCGACGCGAGCTGGAGGAAATGATGGGGGAAAATCTCCACCCCACGACCAGTCTTTGCCAGGGAAAATCGCCGAGAAAATATCAGACTCCGCCAAAGAAGACTTTGCCAAGACGGGGAAACTCCTAGAAGACCCAAGAAATTATAAGGATTCGTTAAAGTTATCTTATAAAGATGCTCTAATGAAAACTTATGGTTCTCGAGGGGCTAGAGCCTTGGAGAAATTTTGGGAGGGACTCCATAAGAAGCAGAAAATTGTGGAGATCGTACCGGTACCGGAGAACTTGGGGAAACTTTTAAGGAGTGTGGAAAGAAGCCGACGTTTCCACGGTGTCAACCTCTCCCGACACCAGCTCACAACGACTACCCGTTCCCCAGGGAAGACGTCGGTGGAGCTGAAGCAGCTCAAGAGGAAGCTGGAGGTCTATAAGAAGCTGCAAAAGCCTCGAACTCCTCCTCAGGATGCATCCAGCTCAGCAACTTCAGCATCAACGACACACATAGTTGTCAAGGAACCTCCGGGCCCTGGAGGAGAACCTTTCTCCAAGCAGCCTCGGCCAGCTGCCAGCTCAGGAGTAGATAGCAATGAAAAGGTGTCTACGGAATATTGGAACGTACCCTATGATCTTATCAATGAAACTATCTTTGGGTACTCCGATCAATGTCTGCCCCTCGTGCTTGAGGTCATCTGCAAAAGATGACGCCTCCAAGCACTCGTGGACAGCGGAGTGTCACACACCGTATGCGACAAGACATCAATCGACCGATTTCGGGAAGAGTACAAACCTTGGTGGACGGCAGCAAGTTACCAGTCTACGGCGAAGCAGTGTTACACCTACAAATTGGACCACTGCGCTGAAAATCAGGGCTTGACTTGATCTTTGGGCGAGACTTCCTAAAAAAAATCAACCCCGAGATCAACTGGGTCAACTGTACTGCAAGCATCTACAACAACGGAAGGAGAGTCCAGTTACCAAAGTGGGACGACACAAGAGATATCCCAGTGGAGACACTCGCCAGATTTAAGAAAGACATGAAGCAAACCGACACCGCGTTCCTGGCGATAGCAACAGATGCGGAAGATGACAGAGAGAAAGCCTCTGAACCTCCAGAAAAAATCAAGGAATTAATTAAGGAGTTCCAAGACATTCTTCCCGACGACCTTCCGAACGAGCTACTGTCATACCGAACGCACCAACACGAGATCGTGGAAGAACCAGGTTCGAAATCGACCTTCCGAGGACCATATCGGCTCAGCCCCACAGAGCTAGCCGACATGAAGAAACACATCGAGTATCTCATCGCAAAAGGACTCATCCGACCATCCACTTCGCCATTCGGTGCCCCAGTACTCTTCACACCGAAACCGGAAGGAAGCATGCGCATGTGAATCGATTACCGAGGTCTCAACAAGCAGACCATCAAGAACAAATACCCGATTCCACGAATCGATGACCTGCTTGATCAGCTTCGCGAAGCCACGGTATTTTCCAAACTGGATCTGTGGTACCGATACTAGCAGATAAGAATCGTGGACAATTCCATCCACAAGACTGCCTTCCGGACTTGGTATGGGTCATACGAGTATCTGGTAATGTCGTTTGGACTCACCAACGCACCGGTAACGTTTCAAGCCGAAATGAACCACATCCTATGCCCACTCTTGGACGAATGTGTGGTGGTGTACCTGGATGACATCCTCCTCTACTTGTGCGATATGAAGCAGCAGGTCGAACACCTGCGACGTGTCTTCGACATTCTTCGACGAGAACGAGTCTACATCAAATTATCCAAGAGCGAATTCGCCCTCAAGAAGGTCCAATTCCTAGGACACTGAGCGCTCAAGGAGTTCACGTCGACCCTAAGAAGATCGAAGCTTTATGCACGTGGAAGACACCCGAGAACGTGAAGGAGCTGCAGCAGTTCCTAGGCTTCGCTAACTATTACAACAGGTTCGTGCCACAGTATGCGAAAATCGCCGCACCACTCACGAATCTGCTGAAGAAGAGCACGCCCTACAAGTGGGAACCAAAACATCACGAAGCCGTGGAGCAGCTGAAACAAGCACTCACGTCCACACCCGTACTCATCTTGCCAGACCCCAAACGCAACTACGTCATCGAAGATGATGCTAGTGACCAGGCAGTGGGAGCAGTCTTGATGCAAGACCAGGGGAATGGACTACCAATCGCCTCCCTTGGGAAAAAATGCACGGGGCAGAACTAAATTATCCGAAAAACAACCGTTTATACCGATCACTGCAGCCTAAAATATTTGAAGACACAGCCAAACCTCTCCAGGCGGCAGGTCCGGTGGATTGACTTCCTCGAGGCGCACTTCCACTATGACATCGTGTACACGCCGGGTCACAAAAACAAAGCAGACTCTCTTAGCTGGCTTGCACACGCTGCCGCTATCTAGATCGAAGGGATGAGCCCACTACTCAAGGTACTCTTCACACATGGGTACACCATTGACCCCAAAATTCCGTTGGCATAAAATCGTCACCTGCTACAGTGGGATAGTGACATCGCATACCGAAAAAGGATCAACGAAAATCTGGGTACCGAATTACCCTCCTTTGCGCCAGTTACTACTTGAAAAATATCACGATGTCCTATACGTGGGACACTTCGGTAGCAACAAGATGCTCACCGGTATTGCAAAGCACTACTACTTCGCTACATCATCTCACAGCATGGCATTCCAACCACACTCATCTCCGACTGAGACCCCAAGTTCACCAGCAAGTTCTGGAAGGAACTGATATCTTTGCTCGGGACCAAATCGTCATGTCATGCGCCTACCATCCACAGACAGAGGGACGGACCGAGCGTCTCAACCAAATTGTCGAGCAACTCCTCTGCACAGCATGCAATGATGAAATCTCTTAGTGGGACTTGCATCTACCCGTCCTAGAGTCTGCCTACAACAACGCCACTCACGCCGCTACTGGACAGAGGTCGTTCTTCCTCTGTTACGGACGCAACCCGCTCACGCCACAAAACCAACAGCATCAGCCATAGTCTAACCTGCACACGACTTCATAACGACCATGCATCAACTTTGGGATCGGGCCCACAAGCGCCTCCTTGACATTCAGCAGCAACAGAAGCGCCAGGCCGATCGCCACCGCACTGACCACACCATCACTGTGGGAGATCACGTTCTACGTGACACCCACAATCTCGACATTAGTCATCTCCCATCCAAATTTCGACCTCGCTTCTGTGGGCCCCTCCTCGTTGAAGCACATCTCACTCTTGTTACCTTCTTCTTACGCCTGCTACAGTGACGGAAACAATTGTCTGTATGCTTTGCACTAATTTGGGTTTTTTTTGCTTTAAGACCACTATACATTAAGCCTTAATGTTTAATGGTGGTAAGATTTGGGAGGGGCACATTTTGGATGTGTTCACAACACAAAAATCCAGAATAGTACATTGGATCTAACTAATATTCCATAAGATAAAACAATGGGTACATCCTGACAAATAGTTCCAAGCAGAGAGAGCAAACTTCAGAACTGCGTTTCTAGTACGTAGCCCACCGACCTTTGGCCTTGATCACCACCCGCACCCTCCTAGGCATGTTACCTACAAGGTTAGTGCAAACCTTGGCAGGGAGCTTCGTGCTCTCTTCCTAGACCCCCCATTTTGCATAAGGGGGTGAGCACTAGGAAAAACGCCAAAAAGTTGGGCGTAGGCAAGGGTATTGTGTACCATTTTGGATTGAATGGTATCTTTGAGACTAGCCATGCTGAGGTGTGGCCAAAGATGCAATTAGCCAATCGGCCCCATGTTATTACGGATCGTCTTCGTCGTAATGTTGTAGGGTAAAATCACAAATAGAGAGGCCAAAACTAGCATAGACACTGCGAAACTGAGGGTAACATTGCACGGTTGCCTGTCCAATTCGTGGAGTCGCATGCTGAGTGAACAATTAATGTTCGAAAGCATGTGATCTCGTCAAATGGGACAAATATCAACTGCTTCAGCTCCAATGACTACACATTTGCCTAGATTTGTGAAGGCACAACCCTGCAGCACCACCAAATTAAATAGACGGTAAACCATGGGGACAAGGATCGGTGATGATGTGGGGATGTATGACATGTGCGAGGTTGGGGCGTATATGCAAGATTCACGGGCGCATAGACAGGCCCCTGTATGAGGGCATTTTGCACGATGAACTCGAATTGGCCCTCGATTTCTCTAGCATTTTCTCCTCTGAGGTCATTTCGGTGTGGACAATGACTCCAAGAATTTGTCATGCCTAGTGCAGGAATGACTTGGAGAACATGAGTATGTAGCCATAGCGTGGCCTTCTTCCTCATCAAACCTCAACCTCTAGGCTTACCTGAAAAGGGAGTTGGCCCAACATAAAAGGCCTTCCTCAGGAATGCGGGAGCTTTGGGACCTGGTACAGGAAGAATGGGGGAAGATCCATGCCAAGGTTTGCTCAAGCCTCATCGACAGCACTCCTAGGAGGGTGCGAGCGGTGATCAAGGCCAAAGGTTGGTGGGTTAGGTACCAAAAATGATGTTCTGAAGTTTGCTCTCTCTGATTGGAACTATTTGTCAGGATGTACCCTTTGTATATCTTTTGGGATATGAGCTAGATCCAATGTAGTATTCTGGATTTTTGTGCTATGAGCACATCCACTATATGCCCCTCCCTAATCGTACCATCATTAAACATTAAGGCTTAATGTATAGTGGTCTTAAAGCCTAGAAAACCAAATTAATGCAAAACATACGGACAACAGTTTCCGTCACTGTACCTACCTGGAGGATTCACAACACCATCCATGTCCAACTTCTGAACCCCTATTGCAATCCCAACACGGTCTTCACCGGACGCCAACCGCCGCCGCCGCTGCCGCTCGTCCTTGTCAATGATGAACTCGAGTACGAGGTCGAGTCTGTGCTTGCACACCGCCGTCGTCGGAATGGCACATTTGAGCTTCTCATCCGTTGGAAGGGTTATGATCCTTCTGACGATAGCTGAGTCCCGGAATCTGAGATGGGTAACGCCCGCCGTCCTCTTCGCGACTACCTTGTCAAGCAGGGTGTTCCTTTTACCACCCAGCTTTGAGGGGGCGAAGTGTGAGAGTACGACCCCGTTACACTTCTTTCTTATTTCCCTATTTCTCCTCTATCTCATTCTTCTTTTTATCCTTATTCATTTGGTCTTTATCTCCTCTCATTTGGGTTCCTATTCCTCCTTTCCCATTACCTTTTGGTTTATCCCATTATTATAATTATATCACCGACCAGGCTCGGAATGTACTGGCGTGCTATATCTAGCGTAATCCTATCGTAATTCCTTAAAGCCAATAGCCCCGCATGGCTATATGCAGCATGATTCTATTTCTAGAAGGGTCTATTCCCTTTGGAAAGGATAAACCTGGTTACTTGACATACCTTGGAAGTATAAAAGTGCATTGTATTAATCGATAGTGCAACTTTTCCTCGACCCATTCGATCCTGTAACAGCCGGCCCCTAGCTCGCCGGCCCCTCGCTCACCGGCCCCTAGCTCGCTTGCTGGCCCTAGCTTGCCGGCCCTAGCTCGCTGGCCCAAGCTCGCCGACCCTAGTTCGCCCCCCCCCCCCGCAAGTTCGATTCGGCCCCATTAGAGCCGGCTCTGGTTCGAGCTGGCCCCAGTTCGAGCTGGCCCCCGTTCGAGCCGGCTCCCGTCCAAGCCGGCCCTGGTCCCGACGGCCCTTGTTCTCGCCGCCCCAGCTCGCCGTGCTGACGTGCCATCGTGCCGTCGTGTCGCCGTATCGCCGTGCCGCTGGGTCGCCGTGTTGTCGTGTCGCCATGCCGCCATGCTGCCGTGTCGTTGTCAGCCGCTGCGGCCGTGGTGATGGCGGACGCCGTGCTCCGCCTAGACGCAGAGGGTCAGGCGGTTGATTTTGAGGTGTGGCTCGTCGACCTTCGCCATCAGCTGACGGGTCAGCGCCAGGACGGCTATTCCTTGGCCGTCCATGTCGACGGTAAGCTCCCCTGCCCCGACGCGCCTTCTGCCTTCTCTAACACCCCCACGTCTGCAAAGCGTGAGGCCTTTGCCGCTGCTGAGCTTACACGCGCTGTCTGGTAGTCGCGCGACGCTGTAGCGCAGCTTGCTATCAGTCACGCCCTCCCCCTGTCTGAGCGTTCCCGCTTTACGGTTGTAGCGAATGCGAAAGATTTAAGATGTGGTAATTGTGCGCTATTCCACAGCCTCCTCCGCCTCTGCCAGCCGTCTGATCCTCCCCATGCTATTCCCTGATCTTGCGTCCTTCCCCACTGTCGCTAATCTAGCCACTCATCTACGCGTCCTTGAGACTACAGTAGCTACCGTGCTGCTAGCACTGAGGCCCAGCTCACGGCATTCCCTCCTCACCTTTGCGCTTACCTTTACCTCATTGCCATGCGCCTTCCTGATCGCCTCGCCACTGCCTGTGACCACTTCCTTACTCAGCACCCAGGTGACCTCACCCTTACTGCCTTTGTCACCACCCTTTCCACGATAGAGACCCGCCAGCACACTATCCCTCAGTCTAGCGGTACTGCGGCAGTCCTTATCTTCCAGAGATTTGCTCCCTCCCAGTGCACTTACTCTGACTTTTCAATTGCTGTCGCTGAGAGAGCCCCTGCTGCTGAGACCAAGGGGGGGGCGTGGCAGAGGGAGGGGTGGTGGGGGTGGCGGTAGTGGTGGAGGTGGTGCGAGTGCCGGCGGTACCGACGAGGGGAACATGGCTGATCCCCCGGAGCAGCAGCAGCATCAGCAGCAGTGGGGCCGCCTTCCGCCGGGGTGGCCTGGCGGCTTTGGTCGTAGTGGTCACGGTGGCTACCCTCGCAGCTCAATATTGGGTGGCAACGTCAGCTTTGTGAGCTGCCAGTACCAGCTCCAGACTGACCCCCGCCACGGCACAGTGTGCGACCGTCCCGATCCCACCGCTGCTCGATCCTTCCTTCGCCTCGACGATCTCTTCCATCTTCGCTTCGGCCCTGCACCGGACCTCCGCGACTAGCACAGACTGGTACGACGACGTGTGCCGGTCTTTGAGATGGATATGGATCAGCCTAGCTCTGCTTTGTATGCCATGTATGTTGTTGACTCTAGTATGACCGGACCTTATACCCTGTGTTGTCTAGTGTAGGTGTGTCAAATGTATGTAGTCTAGGCTCCCCTGCTGCGTCAGGGGTAGGACCTCCTGCCTTGTTTAGCCTTGGCTCTACGCTAGCTCCTCCACCGGTTGACG